GGAAGTGGAGCAGCCGGGACTTGAACCGGTGCCCATATGGGATGCCAGCACCGCAGGTGGTACTTTACCCACAATGCCACAGCGCTGGCTCTGATCCTTTTTTCAATAAGTGGTGCTGGAACCACCGGTTATGGCCATGTTTTACAAAAAGGCATTCAGACATAGGCATTTATTCAGGCAGTAAATGTTTATTGATTTCTACCAATTTCTTAGTTATTGATTTCTATCAAGTTTGCAATGATGCTTGTGATGGAAAACAACATATAGATAAGTGTAAAGCTATGCTACCACAAGGTCACATGGGGTGGTCTGCTGATCCTTGGCACAGGAGTTATGGGCTGAATGCAGTCAGACCATAAGGTTGAGACGGCCAAACACTTCAACTCCAGCTAACTGAGACTTTTTAGTTGTCTAGATTTCCCATCAGTCATGAAGATTTCAATATAGATGATAGGCTGACTCCAAATAGTGTACTGTCAGCACTGTGTTAAATAATTCGAATTAAGTAATCTAAGCACTTTCAGTGTGACATGGGCTGGTTTATGGTATTGGCAACTCAGCTGACAAGAGGTGACAAGGAAGTGACAAGGAGGGCATGTTACAGATGGGCATTAAAAGAACGGGAGAGCCAAGAATCTGACCTGAATTAGAATAGCAGATGTAGGACGTGGGTGGTTACCTTGCAGGCACACTAAAAATACCACAGCTTTTCCAACAGGCTTGGTATGCGTGGTCTAACATTTTGTCCCCTTTCTGTCTTATTTGGGTGTTCTGATTGATTTGGGTGTTTAGTTCCAGTTCTAATATGAAGTGAGCCAAATAGGATATGAGTCCAGGGAAAGGATTTATAGGAATAGAAGTTCGAGGGGTCCAACCAGAACTACCTGAGTCCTGGGGTGGTAAGCAACATTGCAGAGTTTAGCAGACTGCTGACTGCTCCCCCAGATCTCTTCTCCATAGGGAAGGAGATTTAGCTGGGCCTAGATGACTCAGCTGGAGACCGCCCTTCTCAGACTCCTCACAATTAGAAGTGGCGTGAGACCAAGTTCTGGCCAATGAACTGTGATTAGAAGTGCTGATGGCGGCTCCTGGGTCATTTGCTGTAAAGGAAATTGTTTACCTTTCATTCTCTGTCTTGGCCTCTAGCTGTGGCCTAGGCTACTGTCCTGGTGCCCCCCCCCCCCCCATGGTACACATTAGGAACACACCCCAGGAAGGGCCAACCAGTGGAAGGTGGAACGAACTTTGTCCTGGTGCAAACTTTCCCTGGACCACTCCCCTCTCAACATCTCCATGATAAAGAAACAATATTCTAGCTCCTTTGTTTCCAAATGTCTTTGATCACAAAAGCAGCTTCAGCTATAGGCAGTGCAGCCAGTAAAGAAGTAGCTACATCAGGAGAGGGAAAATGACTCGTAGGCATTGCTTCTTCAAATGCCTTTCCTGGGGCCCCTGCTGTGGTGTCGTCTGGCTAAGCCTCCGCCTGCACTGTTGGCATCCCATATGGGCATCCATTGGTGTCCTGGCTGCACCTCTTCCGATCCAGCTCTCTGCTGTGGCCTGGGAGGGCAGCGGAGGATGGCCCAAGTGCTTGGGCCCCTGCACCCGCATGGGAGACCAGGAGGAAGTACCTGGCTCTTGGCTTTAGATCAGCACAGCTCCGGTGGTCGTGGCCATTTGAAGAGTGAACCAACGGAAGGAAGACCTTTCTCTCTGTCTCTCCCTCTGTCTGTAACTCTCTCTCTCAATAAATAAATTTAAAAAAACTTCTGGGGTCGGCGCTGTGGCTTAGTGGGTAAAGCCACTGCCTGTAGTATTGACATCCCATATGGACGCCAGTTCGAGATCCAGCTGCTCCACTGCCAATCCAGCTTCTTCTATGGCCTGGGAAAGCAGCAGAGGATGGTCCAAGTCCTAGGGCTCCTGCACCTGTGTGCAAGACCCGGAAGAAGCTCCTGGCTCCTGGCTTTGGATGGGTGGCGCTCTGGCCATTGCGGCCATCTAGGGAGTGAACCAGCAGATGGAAGACTTCTGTCTCTCTGCCTCTGGCTCTCTGTAGCTCTGCCTTTCAAATAAATAAATATATCTAAAGAAAAAACAAACAAACAAACAAAAAAAAAACCTCCTGTCCTTTGCCATTTGATTCAACCCTAACTCCCTACCTGGTAAAGTCCAATTCAATGCTAGGAAACCATGTTTAGGCACTGAACTCAGAGCCAGAAGCAAAATTAGCTGGAACACATGCTAGGGAGAACAACCTGAAAACAGGTGATGAGCACCAGGGGCCAGAATCCAGGAGCAGCCATGGTGTGGTGCCCGAAGGTCACCCTATCAGTCAGTGGGTGCCTTTGTGGTGGATTCTGGGCTCCCCTTGTGGGTCAGGAGACACTGAAGACCACGAGAAAGCAACCTAGAGTCAATTACTGCCTCATCCATTCCAAACAAAGAATTACTACCTTGGAGACCCTGAATTGGAATAGGTTAGGTCACAATGGCTGAGAAATGAAAAGAGGAGTCACAAGAGTGGAGACTGGTATACTGAGTAGAGGAAAAGGAGAGTCGGAGAGAGAGAGAGAGAGAGAATCTGCTGGTTCACTCTGCAAATGCCTACAACAGCCAAGTCTGAGCCCAGTCAAAGCTAGGAGCTGGGAACTCAATCCAGGTCTCCCATACGGAGGGCAGGCACTATCACCAGCTCCTCCCGGGGTCTGAATTAACAGGGAGCTGGACCTGGAAGCAGAGCTGAGACTTGAAGCCAGGCACTCTGATATAGGATGCAGGCATGAGCAGCAGCATCTTAGTCACTAGACTGAATGCCCATCATCCCCGGTTTTCCGTGAACTGAATTTAAGTGCCCTCATACATAATTTCAAAGAAAGATTATTTTGTTCACAAAAAATGGATTGGTTACCTTAGATTTGACCGACAATTTCCAGAGATACTTCAAGAGAATTATTCCTCACAGAAGCATCCTTCAGTTTGCTTTGCAAAATCAAGAGCCTACAGTGTTGAACACTTCCAAATTAACCACCATCTAGAAGTTCTAAGAAGGAATCTTAGAAAGGACTTTGAAAAGCACATACTATTTGCTGTCCTGCAGAAACCAGGGAACCAAGCCTGAGAGATCCCACCCAATATTACCTGCAGTACCTGTACATTTGGGTGAATTCTTTTCTCCTTGGGACTTCAAAAAAACAAAACAAAACAAAACAAAACAAAACAAAACAAAACAAAAAACAAAACAAAACCCCAAGGGTTTGCTTGTAAGTAACCTTCCAAATCACCTGCAAGGCTGAACACTAAAAGCTGGACACGGGCCAGTTTTTCTTGGAGGACTTTGTGGAATTTTGTTCGTTGAAATGACCTGTCCTATCTGTTTAAATTAAACACATTCTCAAACATGACATTCTAGGCAAGGCCTTCATTGCATGATTCATTCTTCCAACCAAATCCTGGCTACAAGGAGGGCAGATTCTTTCGGAGCCTACCCAAACAATTGTATTAGCATGACAAGCAAGGTGACCCAGTAAGAGTTTCTAAATTTGGAGGAGAGGGTTGGGGCCTGCGCAATGGCGTCACAGGTAAAGCTACCGCCTGCAGTTCTGGCATCCCACTTGAGCGCCTGTTCCAGTCCTAGCTGCTTCACTTCCGACCCAGCTCTCTGTTGTGGCCTGGGAAACCAGTAGAAGATGGCCTAGGTCCTTGGGCCCCTGCACCCACATGGGAGACCCAGAGGAAGCTCCTGCCTCCTGGCTTCAGATTGACGCAGCTCTGGCAGTTGCAGACAATTGGGGAGTGAACCATCGGATGGAAGACCTCTCTCTCTGCCTCTCCTCTCTCTGTGTAACTATTTCAAATAAATAAATCTTTAAAAAAAATTTGGAAGAGAGGAATGGGGTTAGAATGAATCACATACAATTTTTAAAAGTTTCATTTTAGCATATGAAAGCAAAATTTACAAAATTACTGCTAACATGAGAAAAAAGAGGAAAGCTTCTCACATGTCCAGGAAATAGAAGATTGAAACAAATCAACCATATTCCCAATAACTTCAATAAAGCTCCCTTCTCTGTTTGTTCGATCTGGGGTCAGTGTTGTGTTGCAGCGGGTCAAGTCACTGCCTGCAACACCAGCATCCTCTATCAGGGCATCAGCTGGAGTCTCAGCTGCTCCACTTCCAATCCAGCTCCCTGCTAATGCGCCTGGGAAGGCAGCAGAGGATGGTGCAAGTGCTTGGGCGCCTGCCACCCACATGGGAGGCGCAGATGGACTTCCAAGCTCCTGACTTTCCCCTGGCCAGCCTTTGTTGTTGCAGCTGTTTGGGGAGTAAACCACTGGATGGAAGCTCTCTCTCGCTCGTGGGCTCTCTCTCTCTCCTCTTGCCTTCTGTCACTCTGCTTCCCAAAAATAGATATTTAAAGACAATTTTGTTTCATTCTATGTAATTTATTCTTGTTCTGTTGGTTCTTGGCTGCTTTTCCACCATAGAGTTCTGGGAATCCTGAATCAGAACGGTGGTGTAGCCTAGAAGTTAGCGCAGCAGGTGTGTCCATTCAGCTTTGAAGAGCGCTGATGGCTCTCCTCTTTACTAGGCTCGGAGACTGTCCTTTGAGGAAGGCACAGACTCGGGCCTGTAGGCGACTGTTGAGTCTTGGAGCAAGCATCAAACACAGGGGAAACTATCTGAATACACAGACTTGATGCCTGTAAGTAATTTATTACTGGTACTCTTCAAAGGTCCAAGGAGGTTCACGATAAGAATAATGGACAAGGAAATTCAATCGCTTCTGTGAAAAGTCAAGATCAAAAATCCTCTTCCCCACTGTCGCCTGAATCTCGCCCTAGCGACAGCCCGCCCAGGTATGGAGCCCCGAGGTTCAGCGGATTCCGGCACCGGAAGAGGTGGGGGCAGGGAGCTGTCCAAATCCCGCCCTCAGCTAAAGCATATAATGGCTGGGAGCTTAAAATAGATCCAGGGAGTCCCTCCCTATCAGGACTCAGCTCAGCCTCTCAGCCTCTCTGGCCCTTTGCATTTTGGAAATTGCTTTGGTCCTTGTTTGCTACCTTCTACTCAATGGACCAGAAAAGGCAGATCTTTACCGACGCATTTACCCCACCTGACAGCCAACTGATATAGACGGGCCAAAATAATCGTTCCACAGGGACGCAGGAATTCAACCTCCCTTCAGAAAATCCCTGACATCTGACGTAGGAGGATTTATAGGTTTAGTGGAAATTGCTTTCTCCTGCTCCCCAGATTACATACTGTGGGTTGATTTTTTTTTTTTTTTTGCATGAGTAAACAGCCTTCTAATAATGAACGGACCAATAATGTCTTAAGAGAGAAAAAGACCATCCTTTTCCTTTTCTGCGGTTTCTCGAGAGAACTTATGTGGATTTGCAAACCTATGGTGGCTGCCCAGAATATGAAATTTAGCATCTTTCTTTTGTGGTGGGGATGGGCTTTGGCTACTGAAGGCCGAATGCACTGGCCAGGAAGAGAAGTGCACGAGATGTCTCAGAAAAGCAGGTGAGTGCGCGTTTAGGGGTGAGGATGTAGGAAAAGAGGGGGTGCAACGCCAGCTTACGGGGATTGTTTTGGAAATTAACATCGTTTTCTGTTTGCGGTGTTTTTCGTGAATGCCTGGTTTCTTCTTTTCCCTTTGTTACCCTGCTGTCTCCTCTTTATAGGAAGCTAGAGTTGTATTTTCTTTTAAAGTGCTGTTAGATCAGATAGCACTATCATTGCATTTTCTTCAGTTCCTTATGAATTGTCCTGGGTGACAGATTCTGGGGAAAAAAGAATATACGCACATGCACTTTTAAAAAAAATCAAAAGCAGTCAGTTTAGTTCTTTAATGTCTGCATCCTAGGGTTAGAACCAATTGGAAATTCGCGAATAACCAATGGGATCGCTAATTCGTGGGGGATGATTCTGTTTGTTCTAATTATTTCTGTTAGATTGTGGATTGTGTTGGATCTTTTAAAGGAAAATCAAGGGGGTTTCTTCATGCCGCTTGGCTGCTAGGATCAAGAGATTGTGCCCTACCTGGAGTTGGGAGGGGCGGGGCTGGAGCCGGTTGCAGGCCCGCTGCTCGATGGCTGCCTGCCGCCTGCCGCAGGGTACGTGCAGCCCGGTGCGTACCAGTCTGTGCGTGCGCGGGGACCACTGACCTTGGCGGCTGCGCACCTGCTGGCCTGGCGTCAGTCAATGTAACAGATCGCGTGGAGACAACCGAATCCAGCACTGTCTCCTGACTGATGAGGAAATGCAGGCAGGCTGGGCAGTCTTGACTGTAGGTCCTTTATCAGCCTAAGTTCGAAATTGAACTTCAGCTTTCTCTGTCTCTAGATATAAACCTGAGCAGAGTGAGAAGTACCTACTACTGTGCAAGGAAGTGCAGCTCTCAGGAATGCGGGGGTGGGAGGAGGGCGCTGCTGTTTCTGGCGCCTGTGTCCTCATCTTGCACAAGGGCCCCCAGCCAGCCAGCGGCGGTTCCCAGCTCTTGCTGCAAGCTGTTCAACAACATCACAGAACTCGGACCTCTGAGTCCTGGAGCAGCCGAGAGGGACCACTATGCCCTGTTACCATCACAGTGAGAAGTTGCTTGGTCCAACAGCAGAATTCGTGTACGGAGGCAATCTCAGAGATTATATGAAGCGAATGTATTCATAGGGATTAAAATCAACCACGATCACGAACCCCACTCAGTTGTCATGGAAAACCTCAGCTCTCTCCCAAGCCAGAGAGTGGCAACCTGCTAGCAAATATCCATGATTGAGAAGTCCCAGAGAATGAAGTAGATTTTCTTTCCTTCTTTTTAAAAAAAAAAAAAAGACTTTTAATTTTAAAAATTTAAACTTGATTTGTATTTTATTATAAATTGTCAAATTATAAATATTAATGGCTTCAGAGCTATGATCCATGTATATAATGTGGGATGATTAAATCAAGCTAACTGATCTATCTCATTTTTTATGAGGAGGATGTTTGAAATTTACTCTCAGCAATCTGGAAATGTGAAATAAACTACTATTAACTGTAGTTACCCTTCCCTGTGATACATCTCAAACAATGTATTCTTCCTTTTTAACTGAAACTTTGTACCCTTTGACCAGTGTGTCCCCATTCTCCCTCCATGCAGGCCTCTGGTAACCACCACTCAACTCTCAGTTGGCTGAGTTCGAGAGGCAGGGAGAGGGGGGGATAGCAGGGGTAACTCCTATCCACTAGTTCCCTCCCCAAATGCCTGGGAACTGGGAACTCAACCCAGTTCCCCCAAAATGGGCAGCAAGGAGGCGACCACCCGAGTGGTCACCTGCTGTGCCCCAGGGTAAGCATTACCTGGAAGTTAGAATCAGGAGTAGAGCCAGAACTTGAACCAGGCACTCTGATATGGGATGCAGGTGTCCCAAGCAACATCCGAATCATTGCACCAAATACCTTTCCTTTGATTATTTTATAGTGCACATATAAGTGAGATCATGTGATTTTTTTTTAGTGTGTGTGTGTGTGCCTGGCTTATTGCACTTAACATAATGTCCTCCAGGTTCATCCGTGTTGTCACAAATGACAAATTTTCTTTTTAAAGGCTCAATATAATTCTACTGTGTGTATGGATATATACCACATCCACTTTATCTGTTCACCCACTTATGGACACTGAGGTTGATTCCTTAGTGTGACTGTTGTGAATAGTGTTGCAATGAGTGCAGGTACCTCTTCCACATACTGATTTCAATTTCTTTGGATACTGGGGCTGCTGCCTGCTGTACTGGCATCCCATAAGGGTGCTGGCTGGAGACCTGGCTGTTCCACTTCCAATCCAGCCCTCTGCTATGGCATGGGAAAATGTTACCGGAGAAGCTAGGGTTCTTGTCTTCGTGCAAGAAAGAATTCAGGTGTGAGACAGAGAGTAGTGGAAAGCAAAATAGCAAGGTTTATTAGGGCAGGGACATCCATAAGAATGGATGGGCACCTCTCCAGACAGAACCTGAGAGAGAGTGCCCAGTCGCTCAGACTGGGAAAGAGTGAGGTTACATGGTTGAGTGGAGAGAATACACCTGGGCAGGCCAGGCAGGCGACTCAGCAGTGAGGCAGAGGGCTGAGCGTGCAGTCCGGTTGAGGCCGAGGGCTTTTAAGGGGATCAGTCTTGCCTCCCCACCTCTGCTCCTCCTGGAACAAAGGACTTTTTGGATGTAAATACTAAAAATTCCTATCTGAGTTTTCCCCCTGAAGTTATCAGACAGGGGGAAGCCTGGCTGGCATCGCCCCACCTTAGAGGAGCCTTAGAGGAAGGATGGTTATCAGGTAGAAGGGGCAGGGCATTTGAAGTGCAGATACTGCGCTGCACCTGGAAGGTTATTGGGATGACTTTGAGATGCAGATACTGGACCTAGATGTTAACTCCTTAGGCCTTTGTCACACATAAGCTCATATCTGACTTCCTACCTAACAAAAGCAGTAGAAGAAGATGGCTCAAGTCCTTGGGCCCCTGCACCCACGTGGGAGACCGGGAAGAAGCTGCTGGCTCCTGGCTTTGGATTGGCTCATCTTTGGCCATTGCAGCCATCTGGGGAGTGAACCAGCAGATGAAAGATCTCTCTCTGCCTCTCTGTAGCTCTGCTTTTCAAATAAATAAATAAGTAAATCTTTAAAAAATAAAGTGGGATTGCTGGGTCATGTGGCAGTTTTATTTTCAGTTTTTTTGAGAACCTCCATACAGTTTTCCATAGTGGTTACATTAATTTACATTCCCACTAACAGTGTACAAAGGTGTCCTTTTTTTCCATATCCTTTTGAACACTTATCTATTTTTTTCTTCATTTGCGTGACATGCAGAGATACGGAGACAGACAGATACAGAAAGACCTTCACCTACCAGTTCACTCACCAAAATGCCCACAACAGCTGGGGCTGGGCCAGACCAAAGCCAGGAGCTGGGAACTCCATCTGGGTCTCCCATGTGGGTGGAAGGAACCCGAGTAGTCGAACCATCCACTCCTGCCTCCCAGGGTGCACACAAACAGGAAAGCGGAATTGGAAGTGAAACCAGGACTTGGATCCAGGCACTCCAATATTGGATGTGGGCATCCCAAGTGGTGTCTTAACCACTAAGGCAAATGCCCTTCCTTTTTGATAACATCCATTTTGACAAGAGTAAGTTAATATTTCTTTGCAGTTTTAATTTGCAATTTTTTTTGACAGACAGAGTAGATTTATTTATTTATTTGAAAAGCAGAGTTACACAGAGAGAGAAAAGGCAGAGAGAGAGAGAGGGGTCTTCCATCTGCTGGTTCACTCCCCAATTGGCCGCAATGGCTGAAACTGTGCCAATCCAGAGCCAGGAGTCAGGAGCTTCCTCTGGGTCTCCCACGCAGGTGCAGGGGCCCAAGGACTTGGAGCATCCTCCACTGCTTTCCCAGGCCACAGCAGAGAGCTGGATAGGAAGAGGAGCAGCCAGGACTCAAAAGGATGCCCCTATGGGATGCTGGCCCTGCAGGCAGCAGCTTTACCCGCTATGCCACAGCGCTGGCCCATGCACATTTTTCAGTCAAGATGCTTTAGTACTAAGTTGTTTGAGTTCCTTATATCAACCTCATATCAGACATGTGGATTGCAAGTACTTCCTCCCAACCTATTGGCTGTCAATTCATGCTGTTAATTGTTTCGTTTGCTGTGCAGAAGATTTTTAGTTTGATATACTCTCATTTGTCTATTTTTGCTTTTGTCGTCTGAACTTTTGGGGTCAAATCCAAACAATCATTGCCCTTGTCTGCAGTTTGCCCCTTTTACTTTCTTTTAGTAATTTTTCAGTTTCACGGCTTGCATTTAAGTCTTTAATCCATTTTGAGTTGATTCTTGTACATGTTGTGACATAAAGCTCCGATCTTATTCTTCTGCATGTGGGTATCTAGTTTTCTCAACATCATTTATTGAAGAGAATATCCTTTTCCTTCTGTGTATCCTTGGCATCTTTGTCAAAAATCAAGTAACCTTAAATGTAGCAGTTCATTTACGGACTCTACTCTTTCCATGGGTTGATACATCTGTATGCCAGTGTCATGCTGTTTTAATTATTGTAGCTTTGAAAATATAGTTTGAAATCAGGTCGTATGATGCTTCTAGTTTTATTCTTTTTGCTCAAAATGGCTTTTGACTATTCGGGGTCTTTTGCTGTTTTATACAAAGCTTAGGATTTTTTTCTATTTCTGTGAAAAATGCCATTGGCATTTGTATTGTGTCTATTTATTGCTTTGGGTAGTCTGGACATTTTAACAAGATTAATTCCTTCAACCCAGGATATTTTTCTATTCATTTATGTCTTTTTCAATTTCTTTCACCAATCATTTGTAGATTTTAGCGTATGGATTTCTCATCTCTTTGGTTAAATTTATTCTGAAGCATTTCACTTTTGGGTACCTATTGTAATAGGATCATTTTTTTGACTTCCTCTTTGGATAGCTTGTTGTAAGTGGACTATGGAAACACTATTGATTTTGTTTGTATCCTACAACTATAATGTACTG